TTACACATTTGTCATCATTTATTGGTAGGCTACAGTCTGATGACCTTTCTTTGGTGACATCCATGGCTGCCTGCACTGCTGATGTGTCACTCCCCCAGATGGTGACATCATCAGCATAGATAGCAATATGGACAGGAATTTTGTCCGGGAGGTCGTTTGTGTAGAAAACGAAAAGGAGTGAACCTAGCGCGGATCACTGGGGAACACCTATTGTCATAGGGGAGGAGTTGGAGAGACAGGTTTCTGCTCTAACAGAGAAGAAGCGCGAGGACAGAAAGCTGCCCGGAAGATTAAGAAGCCGGCCTCTGGTACCATACATTTCCAGCTTGTGCATTAGTGGAGAATGCGGTACCAGGTCAAAGGCTTTGGCAAAGTCTATGAAGATGGCATGTGAGATTTTACCATCATCATAGGCCTGGGTTAGACTTTCCATGACATATAGCATATTGGTGATGCATGATCTGCCAGGAACGAAGCCATGTTGGGCATGAGAAAGAAGGTTGTTTTCCCTCAGCTGTTCAATAATGTGTCTCTTAATGAGACGTCCAAAACTTTTGCTGGAGACTCTAGTTAGACTTATCGGTCTGTAGCTGCTGGCATGATGCCGAGGTCCCAATTTGTAGATCGGTGATATGATAGCCTTTTCCAGGCCTCAGGGAATTCACCTTTATCTAGGCAATTCTGAAACAACCGCCCGTAATGGGGGACTAGCACGGGTGCAGTCTCTTTAATTATTCTAGGGTGGACCTCGTCTGGGCCCATTGAGCTATAAGGGTTTAATGACTTTAGAAGTTTGAGTACTTCTTCGGTCTTAACAATGAAGTGTTCAAGAGGTGCTATACCTGACTTAAGCTGTAGGGCCGGGAAGAAGGTAGGTGGGGCGGAGTTGAAAATATCTCGGAAGTGTGATCGGAATGCATCTGCTACCTCTTCGGGTGAGGTAATTGGGGAGCCATCAGGAAGTTTCAGGGCTAGAGTAGAAGAACTGGGCTGCCTTTTATGGAGAAGTTTGAAGAGGCTGGAGGGGTTTCTTCTTGCCCTGACTAAGATGTCTTTCTGTTGCCGGTTGAAAAATTCCCTGATCTTGCTCTTGCATAGGCTCCGGATATGTTTGAATTCATCCGCGTCATCATCCAAGTTAGTGAGCTTGTACCTTGCGAAGATGACGTTCCGTTCATCCAGAAGTCGACTTATTGNCTTATTGAACGTGGAAGAAGAGGGCGGCTTTTGGTTGGGGTGAATATCTTGGGAACGAACAAGCAGTCGCCTGTTCGGAGTACATGCTCAATTTGATCATTGAGTTCTTTTGTTTCTAAAGAAAAGTTAGCAGAATCCAGATTTGCTGCCAGGTAATCACTTAGGGCAGCGGAGTTGGCTCGTTTGAAGGATCGCAGGATTCTTATAAGAGGGCCAATGAACGATGAAGTTAAG